AAACAAGTTGACCTAGGAAAAAAAGAAAAAAAAAAATAAAATTTCGTTGCAAAATTTTCCACTCGTTAACCGATACCCTGCTACCACCGTTGGCAAAGTAGATCGAACGACATAGTTATTCGCGATGTATAATGGTCGTTCACCTAATGACAATGGCAATTAGCATTGATTATTAATTTGAGCGTAATAGCCGCTGTATCGTGCTGGAATTGGCCAAGCTGCTTATTTTTGCGAAACTGATGGTTATCGTATACCGATCCCCGCAAATCCAAATTTGTTCTCGTTGCCGATTCCCGACGTGGATATATTCGTTTGACTATTCGACTATGGGGCCGGGCCGGGGGGAATAAATAAATAAAAAAATATTTTATCCGCGTAAAATCGTTGCGTAAAAAAAACGATAAATTTTAATTCTAAGCAAAACTGATGTATTTATTCCGCGAATAATAATTCGCAATTTGGCCAGTGATGTATTTCACAACATTTATGCATTTGTGCATATTTTTTTTTTCTCTTCTTTCTTTTTTTTCTTTTTTTTTTTTTTTGGAAATACATTAGCGCGACACACACGGAATTAATATGGATGGAAGGATGGAAAATGTGTAAAATTCGTTACGATTTTTGATTGGAATGATCGATGTTGTCGGTGATAATAATAAGTTGAAATTAACAACGTGAGTTTTTGAATCTGGAAAATTGTAATGGCTGACAAATTTTTGATATTAGTTTCTATTCTAGGCGAGAGAATAAAATCTTTCCGAGTGAAATCGTTCAAAAATATTATACTTTTGTAAAATCAATAAAATTCTTTCCCTGCACAAAGATTTTCATTAGAACAGGAATACTTCCGTTAAATTATTCTATTGTAACATCACAGTAAAATATACAGGTATTATTATATTTTTAACAAAAATTCATAACTGGAAGGAATGGAAGAAATGAAACGAAAAATATTAGATCCAATTCGATATAAGACTATTAAAAATTTAATAAAAATATCAACAATGCGATCCCAGGGACAATGTCTAAAATTCCAGTGGACGGAATAAATATATTGGACGATAAAATATATATATATATATATATATATTATTTTTTTTTTTTCAAAAAACTATCGACCATTGACTATTGGGTTAATAAAAGGAATGACCGTTGACCATGGTGATAATTCTCCAAATATCAAAAATCCGTTAGCCATTTCCGTTCCGCTCGTTTTATTCGGTGAAAAATCTCGAGTGCACTCGAAAAAAAAAAAAAAAAAACAAAACAAAACAAACGAAAAGAAAAAAACGAAATTTCATTCCCAAATAATCGCACGCGGCGCATGTTGTTCCCCCCCCCCCTTCCTCCCCCTCCCCATCGTACTTAGCAATATAAATTTTCGAATAAAAGTTCCGGGAGACAACGCGTATGCGGTATATAACAAGACTGCAACTTTAAAATGATCGAATTTATTGCGCGACGTCGTTGCTCGTTCGTTCGTCGGTGGTGCACACGAATTTTATATATCGCAAACTTCATGATGTAAATCCACGGGGAGAAAATTATGAAACGAAATTCAGAACTTGGAAATGATCGTACTTAAACTCTCATATGCCTCTTCTTTTATCTTTTTTTCTAACAAATTTTTTTTTTTTTTGGTTCAAAGCTTTTTTTTTTCAAAGCAAATGTTCTAAAGCGGAGGGTACATACATAATTCTAATTCATGGTACATTTTGCCGTCATTTGTTATTCACAGTTGAGGAAGCACGGGTGTTAAAGAATTCTGTTTATATTGAACCGTATTGGAAAATATAAAGCAGAGAGTGAATGTTTGAGAAAGGTATACAGAATATTTCAGTAAGTGGAATATTTTAATATTGATAGAATTTCTAAAAAATTGTTAAAAAAATTTTTCACCGATTTCGACCGATCAAATTAAGAAAGTTACTACCATCCATGAAATCGTAAAATTTCCCGTAAAACTAACACGTATTGACGCGCCAGCATAAAATTAAATTTCCTTCAACTCCAATTAATAACAACCTGCGTGATAATTTAAAAAAAAAAAAAACAAAATAAATATTCGATTATTCGAATATTTAATTAAAAACCTGAATTTAATTCCAAAAAAAAAAAAAATCAAAAAACACGAGCAATCTGATCATCAAAAGCGAATCATGAAAAATCATATTTCAATCCCCCCTAATTGATTCGCATTCCCACTTCGCTCGATTCTCTTTGATAAACAGCGAAACACGCGACACAAAAAATTCACATGCAAATCACGATCCGCCACGCCGTCCACGTAAACATAGGGAGGGGGAGAGAGAAATCGATTCCCTTCGATCCAACGAAGGCGCACGAAGGGTGTTGGATGGATACGGGAAGACGTAACAAGTGGAGAGCAAAACTGAGCTCAAGTATTTACGGGGAAATCACGGTTAACACGCAGTCCATTATCAGCAGCGCGCTACGCCCCTCCTCGTTTAATGACGGAAATTTTATCGCGTAAACCCCCCCTCCCCCGTGTTAAACTAACTGATCCAAGGCGTGTATTAGCGTATAGGGGAGGAGAAGCGTGGTTGTCTCGCGGCGTGCTCCCAACTTTCTCGTTGAAGTCACGCGATCGGATAAGCTGCGGGGGATTAACCGTTAAACCGATGGTATAAACGCGAGAGAAAAGAGGGAAATGTAACGGGTGGAAACGAAGTTTAGGTTGATCTAATATTTGGGAAAATTGGATCGAACGTTTTGGGAAGTTGGGAAAGGGAGATTACAAGAGGCGGTTGAAATAGTTTGATAATTGTTTCGGATGCTTTTGGATGTGTTGGTGGGGGATGAAGATGGTTTCTCGGTTTCGTTGCTTCGTTCGTTCGGTAAATTTGGAATATTTTTGGAAAGTGGATGATCTTTCGAAGATATGTTTTTCACGATATTTCGTAATTTCGAGTATTTTGGATATATTCTTTTTTTTCTTTTATATCGTGACGATGGAGAAAAGTAGTTTTATTTATTGATGAAACTTTGAATGATAATGTGATTGTAAAGTAATCTTTTTTTTTTATTTCAAGTTGGAAGGAAGGAAGAGAAAATGAGAGAAAGAGAGAGGGAGATGTCAGGCTATATTACAATGTCGCTGCTATAGCAAGCAAAAGCTGATTGCTGTAAAACATTTTTTAAATTTATCGTAAGATAAATTATTGGAAATTTCAATTTTAAATTGAAATCAAGAAAAAGTGATGAGGATAGAAATATAGATTCGTTATACTTTGGATAAAAATGGATATCTATTAATATTTAAATCTAATTAATTTTGATTCATTATAAATTTCAATTTAAAATTTCCAATCGATAATATGACGATTATCTTTAATCTTGCTTCGTGATAATATTGTTCAGACGTTTAATCGATAACCTTTATTACAATTCATATAGTAATTGTATATTATTAGTGTTTAAATCTAATTAATTTAAATTCTAAATTTAACTTAATTATCTTTAATTTTATCTTAGCTATAGCATTTCTTATTAAATTCCATTATTATATTTTTACCATTTACTGTTTCCTGCTTACTTTTTGCTTCTATTTTTCCATTAATCCTTTATTTGATTATATCATTATTATGTCATTCTGAAAATTTCGTTGGATACTCAAATTTCTGTACTGCCCGTCTAATAATTTCAGTGAAATCAGAATCTCTCTTTATCAGCCTCGAGCATGAAATGACATCGATAGTAAATATTAATTATTAAAAAGTATCCCATTAAAGATATTCGATAAAATATATAACATGAGATAACAAAATTATTTTATCATCCATCGTATTCTTTATAACAATGAACAATAATAAATCGTTCAATAGAGATTAAAATTTAAATAAATAATCAATTATTGAGAATTGATAATAAAATGAAAATGTACAAAATGTACATTGAAAGAAAAGTATATAGTCGATGAACAAAACCAATATCCATTTTATTCAATCCTAATTTTTATCTAAAAATTACACACACACACAAAATAACACACAAAGCATTTTCGAGAGATTTCGTACCATATCTCAACCCTTCGTTATAAATAATTACCATTATACAAGTTCAAAATTGCGCTTGTTGAATGTAAAAAAAACCTCGACAACAATCGTTTCTGTTAGAATTAAAATACAATTATTCTCAAACTTCTCAAACACCTCGATCGATGAAACGATGAAACGACAACAGGGAAGTACGAAGAGCTGCAACAAGCAGATCAAAAAATCGTTGGCACACCCCGTACACGAGAAGACACGATTGGTTCGATGGAAGAGGAGGAGGAAGAGGAAGCAAATAAGGGATGTAGCGGAAAAGCGGCGAGCCCGAGGATGGGGGACAATGGGCGAGATGTTGGCACGTCACGTCAACGGCTAAAAGTCCGCGAAACAATATCCAACCACCATCCCCCCCTACATCTCTCTCTTCCCTTTTCGGCCGCTTCTTCTGTTCCGTATTAGTTATCGTTTATCAGGCCGGGCAGACAAAACGCGCCGCCGGGAATTGGGTGAGCCATCTGTTGCCAGACATGATCGATAAAAGTCCGCCAAGTGCTATCAGTGCTAAACTGCTATTTCGACGAGCTGCCGCACGTTTCACCCCTCCTCCTCCTCCTCCTCCCCCGTAACCTTCTCCGACAAAACGGGCCAAACAGCAGGGTCTCTTTCCTTCTTTTCTTTTCGATTTCTCCTCTCTCTCTGCTGTTTCTTTTCCCATCCCCCCCGCAACATCTGTACGGAACCAGAAACCGATCGAGGAAGTGTATACGCAATAAATTGAACCCGGCCCCCTGCAAATTGCTCGTTACGCCCTCGCCCCGCTCGATTAGCCTTTTTGCGGAATTCTCGATGGAAGGATGGAGTTTTTTTCTTACGCGACGTTTCGATTATGCTTTGATAGGTTTTTGAAGGAGGGATGTGCGTGTTTTTCGAGCATTGGAAGATTTTGTGATTAATTGGATGTAATTTTTTTTACAATTACGGTTCACCCGATTCTTCGAGTTATTTTTGTTTAAATTTAATTCACTTCTAATCGATCGATTATTCAAACAATTTTAAATCGAATAAATGATCGCTGCGCAAATTCATTCGTTCTCATAACGTTATTATTATGTGGAACGTTGAAAGAGGAAAGAGTTGGATCGTATTTTATTTCGTATTTTCCGTAATTTCCGGTGAATTACTTGAGGGATATAATAATTTTAGAGAACAATATCGAAATAGTAGGGGCGGGAGAGACGAAACTTCCCATTTCGCCTTTTCCAATTTCTGGTGTGTCAATTTTGCAACACATGGCCCTTGCGTTATCGCGATAGAAGATTGCACTTTTTCCCCCTGTTCTCCTTCTTTTTTTTTTTTTTTTTTTTTCCCCACCTCGGACAATTCCTCGGGATAACTTGATCAAATTGTTCCCTCGCCCGTGATAGGCCGGTTGAAAAATCATTTTACTCGAAAGGGAGCGATAAACGAGTCTAATTTATAACTAATTTATTCGTTATCCGATGTATATCTTTTCTTTTTTTTTTTTTTAATTAAGAAGAAGAATTTGTGAAGACAATTTTTTTCGAATAAAGAAAAACGAACGCTCGAATAATTTATCATTATCATCTCGCGTTTGCGTACATATTTTTCATATATTCAGATTTTTATAATGTAAAAAAATTTCCAACGAAAATAACATTCTAATTTTAGTATTCGTTCTAACGAGATGTGTACTCGGCTGACGTTTTATTCTCCCTTGATTCGGTAAAAATATTAGAAATCGTATTTACATTCCCGTAAATACACAACTATTCGTTCGTATTCCAAAAGCCAATAAAGTGTGCGTACATAAGATATTCGCAACTCGGCGAATATCTGTAAATAAAATTGCTTTATTTCCACGAGTCAACACGAATCACAAGAAAATAACACGAAACGATCATCGGTGAGATAAATTCGAAAATCTGATTAAAAAGGAATAAATTATTTCCTACAAACAAAAAAAAACAATTATCATTATTTATTATTATCCCTTCTTGCAATAAATTTTATCCAACGTTACATTAAAAAATGGAATTAAATTCAACGTTGTTCAAATTTAAATTAAATCCAAAGTTTCCTCATTTCGGGATTAATCTCCGGGTGGAGGGGGGGAGTAGGAGAGTTTGTCCACGTGTTGTCGTGGAAAAATTTTCGAAGGAACGGAATCGTAAAGGAATTTTAATATAACAAGTTGCACGACGGTTTCGCCGTCGGGGCGAATATAGAGAATATAATAAAAAAAAAAAAAAAACTACAAGTATTTTTATGAAACCGCAGCACAAATTTAATATCGCCTGTAAGCAGTTGCACGGAGATGCCCGGCAGAGATTAGTGTGAGAGTAGTGTGTACATGTCGATACATGTATAAATTGAATCCACTATAGGAATTCCTCGTCAAAGAGTGGAATTCTTGCTTCCTCTTTTTCCGCCAATACCGCCTTCTATGTACTGTGACGTCGAGCGTGAAAATGCTCCACTCCACCACCCCCCGTTCCAGTTTCTATCGGGGAGTTATGCATGACGGTAAAAAAAAAAAAAAAAGGAAGAAAAAAAGAGTGACGTCTGATGTCAGTTAAATTGTCCTTCTAACTATCGGTAACGTGACATTGTATCGTATGGTATAGTCGTCTTCTCGTGTTCGAAATTCGTTTCTTACGCGTTGTTACGCGTGAAGAATTCTCTCGTATAATTGAGAATTTATCAAGAATTATATTCTTGATCATCGAGCGATAATAAATACGTGGTGATACGAGGTCTGACTATGCAACGACTCGTACTACTAGTTTCGAATCGAATAATTGGAATGTTTCGAGTAAGAGAATATTGCGTTGAAATAATACTCAAATTAAAAACTTTGAGTATAACAGGATTATTTCGCGTTCTTTATTCATCAGAAACGGTCGAGAACATCTTCATAAAAACATCTTCTTTAATTATAATCCAACGTGAAATAATTTCTCTCTGTTGCAGATATGGATCTGCCGAAACACTCGAAAAAATTGATGAGAGGGGAGGATGACACGAACGAGGCGATCGGCGATCGGGATCACAGACTGAATCACGTGTATCAAGGTTCTTTACGGGAAACAGGTTCGACTTTGGAGCCGTTCTTCGACGGCGACGACGCGTCTTCGTCGACGTCCTCGAACGACATTCTACCACCCGCCTCTTGCATCCTTTTGATAGCATTTTCCCAATTCTTCGCTTTCACGTAAAGGAACGTTATAGAAGAAGAAAAACACGCGTGATTAACGAAGAGAGAGAGAGAGAGAGAGAGAGAGAGAGAGAGAGAGAGAGAGAAGAAGAAGAAGAANA